ATTTGTCAATAAAGCAACAATATTTAATCCAATTCATCTGAAAGCTATTTTATACTTAGGCATTTTGCTTTGGTTCAGTGTGCTTATATCTGTCAGCTAACAATTCCATTGCTATGGGCTGAGAACTTATTTCAGAAAACATACTATTTGAAGAGATCTCAGTGCTGCAATCTAATACTTTTCTCTGCTTATCACCAATGCTCCTCCCCCTCTTTATCTGTATATAGTTTGGATCATAATGGAAAAGTTGTTCAAATCAACTTTAACAATGCTACTCGGGACTCAATCCTTGATGTCCCTGTGGAACTGGTGCATCCTTTCCTTTCTGCTCTCAAGGACTATGTGAATCTTATGTACAAGCTGGAAAACCTACTTACTTTCAATTTGGAAGCAGGTGAGTTTACCAAACCGTATATTTTTCTGTTTGATATTTCTGTTTAAAAGTGCTGCAATGTTTAGTGTTGAATGATTTACATCCTGTGTACTGTTCAATAGGCAATACTATCAATGACCAGTGTCTTCAAATTATGTACACACTTATGCTATTTGCATGGATTGAGATATTTAATCACGACTTATGAAAATGTTAGCTCTGGTTTAGTTATGGGGCAAAGTTGAAGAATTACTTTTTTGCAAAAACGTGACAGTCAACTTTTTAACACCCAGCCCATTGAAAATGTCACAACATTCCCGCCTCATTTGATGTATTTGATCTTCACTGACTTTGATCTTCCCCAACGTTCATGCTGTTGGCAGAAATTCCAATTGAAAATCAAGACTCCTTGATATAGTTGGCAGTGTAACATGAAAGCGTGAACTTAAGAAAAACACAAGAAAAGGTTTACAACTATAAGACCCAGTGGGGTGCAGCAGAATAGTCAAAAGATACCAAGATAAGTTCTTTTTCTCAAACTACGCCAGCATACATCGGAGAAGGTGAGCACCAGGAGAACTCTGTGGATCCTGTAGCAAATCCTTGGAACTCTCCTTCACTGGCCTTTTCTGCCCCAGCACATTATGGAACTCCCCGCCCCTACCACCTTCCTCAAACACAAGCTTAATTTGAACCAATTACTGTTCCCTGGAATTATTACTAATGGTGGCTTTCAACCACAGGCCTGAAGTATTGGCTGGCAGACTAATTTCAAGTAATAAAATCACAGCTGCCAATTCAAAGATCTGTCAGATCACACTCCCTTCTGAACTGGTACCATTGTCAGAGGCCTTCCACTCTCCAATGCAAATTCCCATGAATATCTCCACATAAATTTATTTCAAGGGTTGGTGTGGGGAGTTTGGGGAGGCATCTAGGAATGTAACGGTATTTAGGGAACCGTCTAATCAGGAGATACAGACAATTCTCCATAACTGAGAGGAAGTCGATACATGACAACAGTACCACCTGCAAGTTCCCCTCAAAGACACGTACCATCCTGACTTGGAAATGTATTACTGTTCCTTCGCTGTTGCTTAGTTCTGCATCTCCCTTCCTAACAGCACTTTGAGCAATAAATGTTGGCCCAGCCTACGGCACCCATATCCCAAGAACTAAAGAAGTAAAAATTGTAAAGTGCTTTTCGAAGAACCTGTCATCCGTTTCTTCACATTGGCTCTGGTTCTTTTGCCAATCACTTTAAATCAGTTATTTATGCTGTTTATTGCTGTTTATTATAAAGTTGGTGGAGTTGTGGATAGTGCGGAAGGATGTTGCAGGTTACAGAGGGACATAGATAAGCTGCAGAGCTGGGCTGAGAGGTGGCAAATGGAGTTTAATGCGGAAAAGTGTGAGGTGATTCACTTTGGAAGGAATAACAGGAATACAGAGTACTGGGCTAATGGTAAGATTCTTGGTAGTGTGGATGAGCAGAAAGATCTCGGTGTCCATGTGCATAGATCTCTGAAAGCTGCCACCCAGATTGATAGCGTTGTTAAGAAGGCGTACAGTATGTTAGGTTTTATTGGTGAGGGATTGAGTTTCGGAGCCATGAGGTCATGTTGCAACTGTACAAAACTCTGGTGCGGCCACACTTGGAGTATTGCGTACAGTTCTGGTCACCGCATTGTAGGAAGGATGTGGAAGCATTAGAAAGGATGCAGAGGAGATTTACCAGGATGTTGCCTGGTATGGAAGGAAGGTCTTATGAGGAAAGGCTGAGGGTCTTGAGGCTGTTTTCGTTAGAGAGAAGAAGGTTAAGAGGTGACTTGATAGAGACATACAAGATGATCAGAGGATTAGATAGGGTGGACAGTGGGAGCCTTTTTCCTCGGATGGTGATGGCTAGCACGAGGGGACATAGCTTTAAATTGAGGGGTGATAGATATAGGACAGATGTCAGAGGTAGGTTCTTTACTCAGAGAGTAGTAAGGGCGTGGAATGCCCTGCCTGAAAAAATAGTAGACTCGCCCACTTTAAGGGCATTTAAATGGTCATTGGATAAACATATGGATGATAATGGAATAGTTTAGGTTAGATGGGCTTCAGATTGGTTTCACAGGTCGGCGCAACATCGAGGGCCGAAGGGCCTGTACTGCGCTGTAATGTTCTATGTTCTATGTTCTATTCCACCCAATGGGAACAGTTTCATTCTACTTATCCTGCACAGATCACTCATGATTTTAAACAGAGCTACCAAATCTCCTTTTAACCCTCTCTTCTCCAGTCCCCAGCTTCTTCAGTCTCTCCATGTAACTGAAAGTCCCTCAAGCCTGGAACAATTCTCTCAGCTGTAATGGATCACACCAAACCCCCCTCAAATATGTCAAGGAGATAGCTTAGACCCTAGCTTTTATTTTATTTCAAGGCAAGTGTAAGGTATTATGTTGCAGATGTAATTCCATTGGTTACACTATTCAGCTTTAAGCAAAACACACATTATTCTTACCTATAGTTAAAATACAAACAAAAGAAAGAAGAATTGGAATAATTTCAACTCTATTGGAAAACTTAACAGAATAATAGATTATTTAACTACTAAACAGCAACTGTTGCAATATAGCAATATCCCAAAAGCATATCCTTGGCAAATGCAAATTCAGTAAAATAAATACATGCAATATGTATCCAGTCCAGGAGGAAAAAACATCAAGAGAAAATTCTGACAGAGAGAGAGAACTCAAGCATTTTGCCATAGCAGGGAGAGATGTATGGCAGCTTCAAAACCCCAACAACTACTGAAAACTAAACTAAAAGCCTGGTTCTTTGGGAGCCTGACTCCACCCATTCATGCTGCTTCTATTGATCCAATTTCTATTTAAAAAGTTCCAAAGTCTCACAAATTATTTACTTTATTGGCTTGGAATAGACTGTTTGGTACCTCTGTCTCAATCTCTCTTCATTAAAAGAAACAGAACAAAATGCACCTCTTAAAGCATAGTATCATCACATGACACACTGTCAGTGCCTTCACATTCTTCCTGAAGTATGGTGCAAAGAATTGGACACGATTCTCCAGTTGAGGTCAAGCTAGCGTTTACAGAGGTTTAACATAACTTGCTTGCTTTTGAATTGTATAACCCTACTTATGAAGCTCAGAGTCCTGTCTGCTTGTGTGGAAACAAATAAAGATTGAGAAAGATGGGAGAGACAAACATTAGGGAGGTGTATGGAAGAGATGGACATGGAAAAAAAAATTACGATACCTTGATTGTTTACATACTTTGCTCAATAGTTTATGAGTAGAATCTTCCTCCATAAGGTTGCACTTAAAGAAACATAGTTCCTGTTTTTAATTCCAGGAGATGTACTAACCTTTGATAACTGGAGGATATTACATGGCCGTCAGAACTATATTTCGACTGCTGGTTCTTCACGTCGCCTGGAAGGAGCTTACGCAAGCTGGGATGAGGCTATGTCACGACTGCGTTGCTTAGAGCAAGCATTGTATGGCAACAAATAGATACTTCAGATATTAAAAAAAGGTTGTAATAGAGCAGGCCATTGATCGATAATAAGTGATTTTTAGTATTAAAACAGTAAATTCTAAAATTTGACAATGCATGCCCCAGATATAATCATGTAGGAGAAGCAGGATGTGTGAGTTAATACTTATATGATTCTGGGAATAAGAAAATGTTAGTATTTCAGAGGATCACTTAAATCAAGCATTTCTGACTGGGAGGGAGGCCGGATTGGGAAACTGATACTGAACAGTATTCCCTCTGAGCTATGAGCCAATCCGTCAAGTGGTGCACACATCTTGCTGAATAAATGAGGTTTACTGCAAGTCTGGGAAGCAAGTTTAGCTCACAAACAAAGAACTGGTGGCCTCCCACCTAATAGAAAACCAACAAACAAGTGGCAAGCTGACATGATTAATCAGTTAGAATTAAAATCCAAATTGCACCCCGGTTGGTTCTTGGAGCACGAAGCCTCTCACCACTTCCTTCCCCAACTCTCCCTTCCTCTTGCAGTCTCTTTGCTGGGTCTTCGCTCATGCATGTTGTGGCTGGAAAAGCTTTTGGGTGAGTGGTTGACTACTACACTGTATTTATGCAAAAATGTGGTCTTAGGGAATAAAAATATGGAGTTGACTTATATGTTGTGTCAACTTTACGCTATAATGTAAGGTACAATATAAAGGCAAGTACTTCTTCATCACATAAAATAATCACATATCTAGATTTTAAAAATCCACAATACAGTACAGAATTAAGTATGCAAATATATGGAGTCTGAAGAAAAGGCAAAGGGCACTGTCTGGAGTAAATATATGAAAATAATTGAAAAATGTTTTGTCACAAACAAAAATCGCAATTCTACCAGTAAAAATATTCTATTTTCCAAACTGTTTGTAGAAACCCAATTTATTGTTTGAAAATTTAGCAGCTGATTCAAGCAAATGAAAAATTCAATGAACTGGCAATAAATAACTGTCTAAAATGTAATAGGCCTCGGAGGCCATTTCCAATGGTGCTTTCAGGTGTTATAGAGTCTGCAAATGATGTCTGAATATGAATTGTCAATTTAGTCTATTTTTAATGCAGGATATCATCTGTAACCTTGCACTTGGAAGAGCCACCTCCTAGAGTATCATTAAGAAGTTAATTATCACAGTAATGAGTGCTTGCAATATAAGTACCAAATTGAATCCACTTGACAACCAATCAGCACTCTCCACTCCTACAGTATGCAGTCGTTTTCCTTTAGTATTCTTACAAATTGTCCGGTGCAAGACGAAAAGCTTCAACAAAAAGTGTCTTTCTAGATAATATTCAAGGTCTGTACTGTTTGTTACTGACTGTCTCCCATGGTATTTTCCCAGATGACCATCTTGGCAACTTGTAGTATTTGCCACCTCTGGCAATATGTAGTACTAGGTAAGGTTTGTGCTACAACTGCCTGGGGTGGGGTCGGGCACTGGAAATAAAGCCCTATTATACCCAGAGTCAACACAAATGTGAAAATCTGATTAAACAACTGAATTGCCAAAGTTTGAAAAACAAAAAGATACACACTAGGTTTTTATGATTAAGAAGAAAATATCTATTTATTATAATCAAACAATTTTAACAAGTGGCAAGAAAGAGACATGAATTGCTAACTTGTAACTATAACTTAAAATTCTACCACTCTTAAAAATTCTTGCACACATACAGACACACAAAGATTACAAGTGGGGAAGGAACAAAAATGTTGGTGAAGCACAATTCTAGCACTAGTTGGAAATACAGGCATTGATGAGTGGTTTTCCTTCTGTTCTCTTCTGATGAGGTCATGGAGTTGTGGATATGCCAGTTCCCCACTCTTCCATTCATTGATGGTTGAAGATTTGCCCTTTCACACATGGTGGAAGATTTGCCCTTTCAGTGTCTCAGAAGATGTTTGTTCTCCTTTTCCTGCCACAAAGGAATTTGCACACGGAGAGGTAGCAAGCTGCTCAGAATTTTCTTTAACTTCTCCACACACAGAAGGGAGAGAGGGAGATAGGTGCTTTATCCTTCAGAGGCTGGATGGTCGTGCAGTATTATTCAAACAAAACTGTCACCACTCAGCCAGGAACCAATCAAGATGTTGTTACTATGCTGAGTACTCCTGAACACACACAACTGGCCCTGATTGAAAAATCAATCAAAAGTCTGTCACTGTGCAAGATGTCTAGTACTTCATCCACTGCTTGAATAAGTCAACATTATAAATATAACTCATTGTAAGTTCTGGTAACTTTTTTTAAAACTGTGATTCAGGGCAATATCTTTTCCCATCTTTTAGTCCTCTGTCCAGAAATAGAAGTTGTCATTACTATTGTTTCATGGTATTTGTTACCACAGAGGGCTACAGAGACTGGTTCATAAAGTATATTCAAGGCTGAGAGAGAGACAGATTTTTAATCAGTAAGGGATTCAAAGAGTGTGTGGATAAGGCAGGAAATGGAGTTGAGGATTATCAGATCAGTCGTGATCTTTTATTGAATGGGAGAACAGACTCGATGGGTCAAATAGCCTACTTCTGTTCCACAGATTTGCTACCCTCTTGGAGAAGAAATCTCTGTCCTAACTGGATGACTCCTTACTCTGGAATTATGGCCTCTGATCTTAGACTTTTCCACAAGGGGAAATAACCTCTCAGCATCTCCCTTTCATGCCTCCAAAGAATCTTATATATGTCAATAAGGTCCTTTCTCGTTCTTCTAAACTCCAATGTGTATAGGCCAACAAATTCATCTTTTCCTCATAAGAAAATCCTTCCATACCTAGGATCAAACTTGTGAGCCCTCTATAGGCTGCCTCCATTGCCAGTATATTGTTCTTTAGGAAAGGGGGACAAAACGGTTCACAATATTCTAAATGTGGTCTAACTGGTATCTTATTTAGCTTTAACAGGACCTCCCTGTTTTTATACTGAATTCCCTTTGAACTGAATGTCGACATTCTATTTGCCTTCCCCATTACCTACTGAATTTGTGTGCCAACTTGTTGTTATTCATGAATGAGGGTTTCAAAATCTTTTTGTGATTCAGCTTTCTGTAGGCTTTCTACATTTGAATAATAGTCAGATCCTGTATTCCTCCAGCAAAAGTGTGTTACTTCACATTTCCCCACATTATATTCAATCTGCTCAATTTTTACCAACTCATTTAACCTTTCTATGTCCATCTATAGACACTTTGTGTCATCCTCACATTTGCCTTCCCACCTATTTTTGTGACATCTGCAAAGTTGGTGATTTTTTTTGCCTTCATTCATGGCACGTGGGCATTGCTGGCTGGGCCAGTATGTATTGCCCATCCCTAGTTGCCTTTGAGAAAGTGGTGGTGAGCTGTCTTTTTGAACTGCTGCAGTCCACATGCTGTAGGTAGACCCACAATGCCTTTAGGGAGAGACCCAGCGACAGTGAAGGATTGGCAATTTATTTCCAAGTCAGTATGCTGAATGGTTTGGAGGGGAACCCGCAGGTGGTGATGTTCCCATGTATCTGCTGCCCTTGTCCTTCAAGATGGAAATGGTTGTATGTTTGGAAAATGCTTTCTTTGGTGAAGTCCTGCAGTGCACATTGTAGATAATACACACTGCTGTTACTGAGCAACGGTGGTGAAGGGAGTGGATGTTTGTGAATGTGGTGCCAATCAATCGGGTTGCTTTATCTTGGATCATGTGAAGCTTCTTGAGTGTTGTTGGAGCTGCACCCATCCAAGCACGTGGGGCATATTCGTCACTCTCCTGACTTGTGCCTTGTAGACAGTGGACAAGCTTTAGGGAGTCAGGAGGTGAGTTACAGTCCGCAGTATTCCTAGCTTCTGATCTGTTTTTGTAAACACTATATTTATGTGGTGAGTCAACTTGAGTTTCTGGTCAACGGTAACCCCCAGATGTTGATAGTGGGGGAATTCAGTGATGTTAACACCGTTGAATGTCAAATGCAGGTGATTAGAATGTCTTTTATGGGAGATGGTCATTGGCTGCATTTGTGTGGCGTGAATGTTACTTACCACCTGTCAACCTAAGCCTGGATATTGTCCGGATCTTGTTAGATTTGAGTATGGACTGCTTCAGTATCTGAGGTTCATGAATGATGCTAGCATTGTGCAATCATTGGCAAACATGCCCACGTCTGCCCTTATGATGGAAAGAAGGTCATTGATGAAGCAGCTGAAGGTGGTTGGGCTGAGGACACTACCCTGAGGAACTCCTGCAGATATATCCTGGAGCTGAAATGTTTGACCTCCATCAATCACAACCATCTTCCTATCCACCAGGTATGACTCCAACCAGCAGAGAATTTTCTTTATTTTGATTTACTAATGTCACATATACCAAGACACAGTGAAAAATATTGTTTTGCATAACAAATCAGACCAGACAAATCATACCTTACATTATTATATCAGGGTAATAGAACAGAATGCAGAATGTAGTGTTTCAGCCATAGAGAGTTTGCCCAATACCCATTGATACCAGTTTTGCTAGGGCTCCCTGATTCCAACTCGATTGAATATGGCCTTGAGGTCAAGGGCACTGACTTTCATCTCACCTCTGGAATTCAGCTCGTTTGTCCATGCTTGCACCAAGGCTGTAACGAAGTCAGGAGCTGAGTGGCCCTGTCGGAACCCAAACTGGGCATCACTGAACAGGTTATTGCTGAGCAGTTGCTGCTTGATAGCACTGTTGATGACACCTTCCAACACTTGCCATCTTGACGATGTCCTCCTTATCCCAACTCTTCTGTTAGCTAGCCCATCCTGTATCCATGCTAATATATTACCCCTAACACCATGGGCTCTTGTCCCGTTAAGTAGCCTAGTATGCATTACCTTATCAAGTGCCTTTGGAAATCGAAATATATTGCATGTACTGGTTCCCATTTACCTATCTTGCCATGGTGTACCAGTCCAATCCACTCCTGACTGTTAGTGTAAGTTGGAGTGAGGAGCTGATCCACACAGATCTTATCTACCTAGAACTTTAGCATAAACACTGCCTACGTCTTGTTTTAGCACCTCCAGGCAAGTTCAAATGATGGCAATCAGAAATTTGGACCACAATTGTGAGCTAAAGCCAGACTTTCATATTGTCCTGTTAGCAGCTATTCAGTTCATGTTTTCACCTTCGCCCTCCAGATTTCCTGGATTCAGCTTAGCTTTTCTCAAAGTTCCATCTCTTAACTAACTCTTCTAGGAGTCTTAACAATACGCTTAAAATAAAACAAATAACATGTGCTTCAGACCTGAAACAAAAACAGAAATTGCTGGGGAACTCAATAGGTCTGGCAGCATCTGTGGGAAGAAAGCAGAGCTAATATTTTGAGCCTGGTGACTCTTTATCAGAGTCCTGATGTGCCACATGCACCAAATCTTAATCCTCAAAAGCCACATATGAAAAAGTCCTTCATATTTTCTGCCATTGTCTCACCCCCTTGTATTTCCTCAATACGTTCCAAAAGTTCAAAACTCTGTATTCTTGAGCAAATTCACTCCACCAGTGGAAATTCCATCCCTAAACATCCCTCTCCTCTTTGAAAGCTTAATTCCTTGACTGAGCATTTGGTCATCTTGAATAACATCTTCTCCTTAGGATCATTGTCAAGTGATGAAGGAGCTGCGTTCTGAAAGCTTGTGATTTCAAGTAAACCTGTTGGACTATAACCTGGTGTGTGTGACTCTGACTTTGACCACCCCAGTCCAACACCGCCACCTTCACATCATGGCTACCGCAGGATCAGTGTCAGCTCTTGCCTGATTAAACTGTTGAGCCTTTAGAAATGCCTTCTCGGCACTTTTTGACATCATGTGAAAATGAGCCCAAGTCCCACCAGCTCCAGAGTTGTGTAACAACATCTCCAACCAGGTTGATTAGAAAAACAGGTTAAATGATTAAAAAAAAAGATTTAGCAATTTAGATACAGAATCAAAGTATCCTACTGTACTTTTGTATTAGGTTTATCTTCTATTAGTGTGTGATTGTTTTTGAATTAATACAATGTCTTTTGTATATGAGTGATTCAGCCACTCATGATTGTACCAACTGAATAAGTAGGAATATTCATCCAGCCCACCTTATAACTGCTGATGATTCTTATCCACTTCTGTTTCATACTCTATGTAGATTTTTAAAATTGCCCACCATGTAATCCTGTTGATTAGTTTGATATTGCTTTGTTTAACATTATAAATAAATTTGTGATCTATTTTTAAATGTAAATTAGCCATTTTAAATACAACAGCTAACGCATTCCACTCATCAGAAGGCCTCCAAAAAGTGCAGAGTCATTTAAGAGACACAATCTGAGTCAATGAACTAATCGTGCTAAAAAAACAGAAATTGTTGGCGAAACTCAGGAGGTCTGGCAGCATCTGTGAGGAGAAAGCAGGCTTAATGTTTCAGGTCCGGTGACTTTATCAGAACTGAAAGCAGCTGGGAATAGGTGGTATTTACGCTGAATGAGATGGGATGATCGATGGGGGTATAGTTGAATGAATAGTTGGAGATGGAGCCCAGAGAGAGGGCACCATTCCTTCTGGACTCCCTGGTCCAACCCTCCTCCATTTCCAACACATCCCCACGGCAACTGTCCGTGCAGTGGCAGAAGATGTAACACCTGCCTTTTCACTTCCTCACTATCCAAGGCCCCAGCCATACCTTTCAGATGAAGCAGTGATTTACCAACACTTCACTCAATCTAGTCTATTCACTGCGCACAACATGGTCTCCTCTACACTGGGGAGTCAAAGCACATACTTGGTTTCCCTTTGCAGAACAACTATGTTCTGTCCACAAAAATGACCCTGAGCTGCTGCTTCTGCCACTGCAACACACTACCATGCCCTCTGGCCAACATCTGTCTCAGGCTCGCTGTAGAGCTCTAGCAAAGATCAGTGCAAGCTGGAAGAGACGCTAAACTTGAAACGTTAATTTTGCTTTCTCCCCAAAGATCCTGCAAGACCTGCTGAATTTCGCTGTCTATTTCTGTTTTTTGTTTCAGATCCCCAACATCTGCAATTCTGTGTTTTATTACATATAATTGTGCTTTCTATCCTGGGAGAATGGAATCAGCAGGTGACTGTGTATACAGAACACGCCTCACCTAAAGCCAATCAGAATTAAATCATGCTCTGTCTGGTCCAATCAGAGTTTGTGGATACCACTGGTCAAGTTGTGGTTGTAATCTTTGGAAATGGTTATTAAGTCCTCACTTCAGTGGTACAGTGTGCAGAAATCAGAAAGAAGACTTTCAGAAAAGAACTTCATCCCAGTTAACCAAGAACTAGTATTCCATTGTAAATCAGTTGAGTTCAATGTCTTGTTAAGTGTCACTCGTGTTGTATTTGTTTCGATATCAATACATTTGTAGACCTTGCTGAAACATATGCCCAGAGTGGTTTTGTATTTGGTCAGACACTGAGTCTTAGCATTAAGGTTAAATTGGATGTCAAAATTCTACACACTCATTATATTTCATTAAAAAGTCTGGAGAGTGAAGATCTATCTGTACAGACACATTTGTGTTGAATGTCAATGTGTCCCTAGTTGGCAGCACTGTCAAAGTGTGCTGAACAGAACATTGTATTTCACAGACACTAGTCCACGATCACTCCTGCCACAACAACAGCCAAGATACTTTTCCACTTTTAGAAATCAATATACTCAAGTCTCATTTCAAGTGATCAGGAAGGTGAATGCAATAGAAAGGTAAGGAACTTTACCATAGTTTTGTATCACATCTGTAATTCTATGTACGGTCTTGGTCTCTTTACTTGAGACAGGATATTAGAAGCCTTTCAGAGAAGGTCTATTCCACTGACTTCTGTGATGAAGGGACTGTCTTATGAGGAAACGGTGGATATGTTGGGCCAGTTTAGATGAATGAGAGATCGTCTTTCAAGACATAAGATTCTGATGGGACTTGACAGTGTGGAAACTGTGAGATGATTCCTCTTGTGGAAAAGACTGAAACAAGGAGATGCTTTGAGGGTTATCCTGTTTAAAGTGGAGTTGAGGAGGGGATGTTGTTCTTTCAGAGCATTGCTGGAGTGGAATTCTCTTCCCCAAAGAGCACTGATAGATAGTCAGATAGATTCTTGATTGACAAGAAAGTCGAAGAGCATAGGAGGTGGATATGAAGGTGGAGTTGAGGCCGCAATTAACACAGCAATGAACTTGTCAAATAGTGGAACAGTCATGGGTCCTGCTCCTATTCTGTACATTTATATGTTTTTTTCAACATATCTTCATTTATTATAGAAATCTGAGTGCTAATCATAAACCTTTTGTTGTCCTGATTTAATTAGCTCTGCTCCATAAATATAGCTCTAGGTGATCACTAAACAATGATTTGACATTTTGTTTAGTCTACCGTGTGAAATTTACTTCAAGGAACAAACTGATTGTAAAGGCAACAATTTATCTTTATACGGCATCTTTAATTTAATGAGACATTCAAAGGCACTTCATGGGAACATTACAAAATGAGGCAGAAGGCAGAATGTGGGCATAAAACTCTTTCAGGAATGCAGCCAGTGGAGTTTCGCAGGTGTCTGTGTTGGCACAACTATTCACGTTATACTTTAACGGTCTGGACGAAGGAAATTGCGGCATTGTTGCTAAGTTTGCAGATAGCATAAAGATAGGTGGAGGGACAGGTAGTGTTAAGGAAGTGGGAAAACCACAGAAAGACTTGGACAGGCTAGGAGAGTGGACAAAGAAGTGGCAGATGGAATACAATGTGAGGCTATGCACTTTGGTAGGAAGAACAGAGGTGTAGAGTATTTTATAAATGGGGAAAGGCTTCAGAAATCTGAAAGACCAAGGGATTTGGGAGTCCAAGTTCAGGATTCTGTTAAGGTTAACATACAGGTTCACTTAGGAAGACAAATGCAATGTTACTGAGGTTTTTGAGAGGGCTGCAATAAAAGAGCAGAGGTGCGGCTGTATAAGGCTCTGGTCAGACTGCATTTGGAACATTGAGAGAGGTTTTGGGCCCCGTGTCAAAGAAAGGATGTGTTGACCTGGGAAGGGGTCCAGAGGACCTTCACAAGATGAAGCGCTTGTCATGTGAGAAGCAGTTGATGATTTTGGATCTGTACTCGATGGAGTTTAAAAGGTTTAGGGGGGATCTGATTGAAACTTACGGAATACTGAGCGGCCTAGATAGAGTAGATCTGAAGAAGATATTTCCACTAGTTGGAGACACTAGGACCCGAGGCATAGCCTCAGAGTGAAGGGACGACCCTTTTGAATTGAGATGAGAAGGAATTTTTTAAGCCAGAGGGGGATGAATCTGTGGAACTCATTGCCACAAAAGACTGGAGAAGCCAAGTTATTTAGTGTCTTTAAGACTGAGATAGATAAGTTTCTGATAAGTAAGGGATCAAGGGTTACAGGGAGAAGGCAGGAGAATGGGGTTGAGAAACATATCAGCCATGATCAAATGGTGGAGCAGACTCGATGGACCGAATGACCTAATTCTGCTCCTATGTCTTATGGTCTTATGGTATAACAGCAAGCCATGTGAGGAGATATTATGTCAGATGACCAAAAGTTGAGTCAAACAGGTAGGTTTTAAGAAGTGTTTTAAGGAAGAAAGTGAGGTAGTGAGCTGGAGGTGGGAATTCTAAAACATACAAGTTGACAAATTTCATGAAGTCACCAACATCATTTCATACTCCTGTGCAGAATAACTCATTGGTTCATTTACTGAACTTAGAAACCAGTGGCCGTTATCAAATTACAAGTATTTTATCCTGGCATCCACAAATATTAAATAACTTACATTTTCACTAAATCTATGACCTCAGCTTACTTACTGTTGATTACATTCTTTTCAATTGCCTTATCACAATGTGACGTCAATTACACCCATATATATTTAACTTTGTACTGTTGCTAAAGAATGAAAAATGTACATTTGTGCTTTGTCTTAGAAAGATAACATGCAGTTAAAGCACTATAGGAAATCTCTGTGGGAATGAGTCTAGCTTCATACATTATTTCGATGAGCCATCTTTCATTATGATAATTAAGTTGAAAGTAGGCGACTAGTTCACCACAGACACACACATTCACCAATTATTTGTCCAAGCAAAATGATGCATGATAAAGTTGGTGCCTGTGGGCTGTGTGCAGGTTAGGGATGAATGAATCAGGCTCCAGTCAGACTCTGTTTGATTCAGTACAATCTCTGTTGACGTCCCACCGTGGAACATAAAACCAATATATTCACTGAGTCTGCCGCCTTAATTATATTGGTTTATGGAGATCAGTTTGGCTTCAAAGTTGGTCAAAACCTGCCTTCTAACGTTCAATATGATTCATCCTAATCAGGAGTGTCAACTTAGCGCCCACATAAACCAGACCGACAACTGATTTAGATATGTTCCCTGGTCGGCCTGGTACAAGATTTCATGCTGAACTCAGTCCTTTCCACCCATCAACTTGCAGTTTTACATCCACTTCCAAAACCCACCCTTCTATTATCTATGATATTTCTTTATTTTTAAAACTATGCCCATATATTACAGAGGAATGAAGCAAACACAGTGTGATGCACAATAGTAGGTGACTTTAGCATGGCATTTTACTTTGCTCAATCTGTGTTAGTAGCATTCTTTAACGTATATTTACGTAGCACCTTCAGTGCAAAAGAAATTACATTGTAAAAGATACCACAGAGCTACTTAGTGATATTTGGTCGAATGACTGAAAGTTTGGTCAAAAAGGTGGCTGTTAAAGAGCTTGTTAAAATGAAGGAAGCATGACAATGAGCAAGTGAACTGAGGAAGGGTTTTGCATCTGAGTAATTGTAAGTGCAGTCGCCAACAGTCGACCACCAACAGGAGGAGAAACATTGCAAGTGATACTCCAGCTGTCTTATGAGGAGGGGTTGAGTGGGTTAGAACTATACTTGTTGAAATATAGAAGAATGAGAGGCGGCCTTATTGAAATATACAGAAGTCCTAGGGGACTTAACACAGTTGATGTGGAAAGGTTACAGTCATTGAGTCATTCAGCATGGAAACAGATCCTTTGGTCCAACAAGTCCATGCTGAACATAATCCCAAACTAAACTAGTCCCACTAATCTGCTCCTGGCACATATCCCTCTAAACCTTTCCATTTCATGTCCATATCCAAATGTCTTTTAAATGTTGTAATTATACCCGCATCCACCACTTCATCAGGAAGTTCATTCCACACACTAACCACCCTCTGCATGAAAAGTTTGCCCCTCATATCTTTTTAAATCTCTTTCACCTTAGAAATGTGTCCCTTAGTCTTGAAATCCCCCAACCTAGGGAAAAGACAACTACCATTAACTCTATCTATACCTCTCATTATTTTATAAACTTCTATCAGATCACCTCTCAACCTCCTATGCTCCAGTGAAAAAAGTCCCAGCCTATCCAGCATTTCCTTATAACTCAAACCTTCCATACCCAGCAACATCCTGGTCAATCTCTTCTGAACCCTCTCCAGCTTAATAACATCCTTCCTATAGCTGGGCGATCAGAACTAGACGCAGTATTCTAAAAGAGGCCTCACCAATGCCCTATACAACCACAACATGATACAACGACAACATGGCTTCCCAGCTCCTATACTCAAAGAACTGAGCAATGAAGGCAGGTGTGTCAAACACATTTTAACCACTCTGTCTTTATGTTATGCAATCTTCAAAGAATTATGTACTTGCACCCCTAGGTCCCTCTGTTCTACAAGACTATCCAAGACTCTACGATTAATTGTATAAGCCCTACTCTTGTTTGTTGTACCAAAATTCAATACCTCACATTTATCCAGATTGAACTCCATCTGCCATTTTTCAGCCCATTGACCCATTTGATCAAGATCCCTTTGTAATCTTAGAAAACCTTCTTCACTGTCTACAATGCCAACAATTTTGGTGCCATCCTCAAACTTACTAACCATGCCTTCTATATTCTCATCCAAATCACTTATATAATTGACAAACAAAAGAGGACCCAGAACTGATCCCTGTGGAACGCCGCTGGGGACAGGCCTGCAGTTCGAAAAGCAACCCTCCACCATTACACTCAGTCCCCTGCTGTTAAGCCAGTTATGTATCCAATTGGCAAGCTCACCCTAAACCCCGTATGATCTAACTTTATTAATTAGTCTATCATGCAGAACCTTGAAGGCTTTTCTAAAATCCAAATAAACGTCTACTGCTCTGCCATCAATCTTTTTGGTAACTTCCTCAAAAAACTTAATCAAGTTTGTGAGACAATTTTCCTCACACAAAACCAAACTGATTATCCCTTATTAATTTTTGCCTAAATGTCAATAAATCCTAAGTTTTATATTGACCTCCAACAATTTACCCACAACTGAAGTCAGACTCACAGGT